TTGAAGCCCGCCTCCTAAATAATCTAAATTTTGTTGAGGGGAGCTTAAACTTAAACACGTCCTTTTTTAACAAAAAGAAAAAGGTTGTGGCTTTGTCTTGAAAAGTCAACTTGATTTGTGGGCGGTTGGAGGGTGCTCTGGTGTGGATTGCTCTTTTACTTTCAAATTATGCATCATTCTTATCTTTCCTCCTTTTTTTTTTTGTATGTTACTCTCTAGTAAAGTAAAGAAAAGTTGTTCCTACATCCGATCCGAACATTGGGGATTTTCTTATTAGTGAGACAACTTCCTTTGGCCTTTGGCATATTGTGGTGGGGAGACCAGTTACTTTCCGCGCTGCTTTTACTTCCCCAACTCGAAGTCAGGTACCCATTACTGCTGGGGGGACAGGAGGGGGCGAAAAATATCCAAGTCCGAACCGAGGCTCAAACCCGGACTTTCCGCTTAAGAGACAAGCGCAGTAACCGCTCCACCACAGTACCCTCTCTACTAACACCTCTAATCTTTGGCACTTCAATGACCTGATTGTGCTGCTAGTACCGTTAAACTCTTACGAAAGCTAAAAAAATACCGGTAACTTGATTTATGCTGAAAGTTTGAAGTTCGGATCTACAAACTTTGGTCCCTGTCTTTTCTAGAAGGTGGGCCAAACAAAAGTTTGGACTGACATGAACTTATTCAATAAAGGTGCGTGCTTAACCAAGATTCAGGAACAACAAAATACAAATGTGAGGCATCGTGGTGAAACCAGGTGACCTCCACCTCCTTCAATCACATATTATGTCTCAATTTCTATTCAAGATAAATGGGTATTTTTTTCATCGAAGGCAAGGCAAATTAATAAGCTTTCAGATGATACCAATAACTCCACATGCCCAAAAACAGATGAGTGCCCGATTCCACAGCATCGTGTCACAAATGTAATATGCTGCACAACATCCAGCCAACACCTTTGCCCAGAAAAACCAATGTCTTTTCTATGCTATGAAGAGAAAGAGTAATTTTTAGTTGACTGAAAATCAGAGACATGCATGTAATTCCGGTAGTGCCAATTGCATGACCAAATTGTGTTGATACTGAAATAAAATTAATCCTGTTATAACGAGAGGGAGGGGACCGGAGCAAAATGTCCGTTATAACAGGATTCTCGCTATAAGGGATCCTTCATTGTTGACGCACGTGGACCCTCAGGACTCTTTGTTAGTGAGAGGTTCATTGGAGTATGGGTGAGTACAGCTTCAGCCCCTCTTGCAAGACTCTTGGTCTAGTGGTGGTGTCCTTCCCATCTGTGGTTGTCTCTGTGTGTTACACTTGGGGCAAGAGATAAATTAGAAAGCGGGTCTGGCTGAGAGGGTTTCAGTAACTCAACACAGTTCTCAATTTATCTCTGCTCAGTTCAAGACTCTGTGATACCGTATGTCACTTTTCATAACGGGGTATAGCTGAGTCGTACTCTGAGCAGTCCATTATCTCTGCTGGTATCACTTGTAGGTTTCAGTTTAAGTTGAATGAGAGACGAACACCGTAACATCTCGACAGCGAGAGCTCTCCGAAATGGATCTTTAACGTACACAACTTGCACATGGGACCTCCAAGATTTTTCGCCTTATTGGAGATGGCTAAGGGTTCGATTTTTTATTTTACCTAGGCCAACTCTAAGGTCAGGCGTGTGGCTGAAAGACAGCAGTATAAAGGAGCCAAGGGGTAGCACTAGAAAGAGTCAGGAGTCAAGAAGAGAGAAACAGATAG